AAAAAGGAGTCTACTTTACTGGCATAAAAGTGTTCAACAATCTGCCACAAAGTATTAAAAACTTGGGCAATGATACTAAAAAGTTTAAATCAGAGTTAAAGAATTATCTACATGCTCATTCCTTCTACTCTTTAGATGAATACTTCAATGTAAATAGAGAATGATGTAAAATTAAGTTATATTAATTTTTAAGCTAAAATTGCCTGTACTTATGTATGTAACCTTTTGACTTGTTCTGTATCCAAAGGTACTAACCTGCTTAGGATTTATAGAATGTAAATAAATTCAATTCAATTCAACAGATGTATGCATCCAAAAATCCTTCTATTGTTATCCATATTCCTTGCCGTGGGAATGTATTTACTAAACCACTGCCTAGCAATGATATGAGTGATACAGTGATACAAATATAGGTTCCATGATATATATAACAAGTTTCATAGAGACTGGTTCAGACATTCATAAGTTTATAGTGGGGGAGGGGTTTCACAGACATATGGTCAGCATAGAGATTGCACAAGCCTGTTTTATGAAAGAGGGCTCAAAAAAACTAGAATGAAAAACATTTTCTTACCTGCTGGCCAATATTGAGGGAGCTGTTCCCTGGAACCCCCATTACACTAGATAATCCATTCCCACAGGGGTTTCCTTCCAACTCAAGACCACAAGTGGATACTGGAGTCACCCAGCTTGGTGTACTGAACAATGAGTAGGTACTGGTGCCAAGTCCCAAGGCAGAGAATGAACTGGTGTTCGGTGTCGATGAAAATATTGTAGAGCTCTCTCCTGTCACGGAGCTACTTCCTTGAAAATTTTCTTTGCCATTGCCATCTGATGTTACCTGCTGGAATATATTTAATAAAATATGTGTTAAGAACCTGTTGGAACATCCAACATAGCATATTTATACAAGCACGCACTGAAAATTTCCACTCCTCATTTTCGCTGACCAATCAGCACTCTGCAAATTTCGCTCCTCCGCCAAGCATTGTATAAAAGGTGGAGCACACCGCTCGCAAGTCAGTCAGAATCAGCCAGTCAGCTATCACACTTTGTCCAGAGTGATCGTTCTTAGGAGGCATGGGCACTTCACTGCGCCAGGTACGGCTGCCTCGGCTCTCCGGCGGGCATGCCCGACTCACTGGGCAACTGGCTGCCTCGACTCCCCGGAGGTCATGCCCAACTCACTGGGCAACTGGCGCAGCCGCCGCCAGTCCAGCGACCGCACTCCGCAACCAGACTTCATCCAGCAATCACGCTCGGGGGCCAGACTACTAACTTAGCTGCCGCAATGTTAGTCAGCACACCATACCCAACATCTCATTTCTACCGGCGCACGCCGCACTACTTCACTGGCCAAACATCCCAGCAGCCAACGGTCCTTTCAGGACCTACAAACTTTTTGAAGAAGTGGGTTGTCATTGGAGTAACAACAAAATCCCCACATTGGTGACCCCGACGTGACAGACGCCGCAGACTGCTTGGAAGCAGCTGTATCCAGAGGCTTTGCAGCATCCAGCTCGCACATAGAACCGCCCACCACCCAGCAGCTAACGGACACTGGAGGCAGCCATCATGTGCTACCGACCCAGCAAATCCAGCGCACCTCACCACAGTTCATGAGCATCAATTCTCGCGTGGGGGGGAGTGATGTTGGAACATCCCACATAACATATTTATACAAGCATGCACGGCAAATTTCTGCTCCTCATTTTCGCTGACCAATCAGCACTCTGCAAATTTCGCTCCTCCGCCAAGCATTGTATAAAAGGCGGAGCACAACGCTCACAAGTCAGTCAGGATCAGCCAGTCAGCTATCACACTTCATCCAGAGCGATCGGTCTTTGGAGGCATCGGCACTTCACTGTGCCAGGCACGGCTGCCTCGGCTCTCTGGCGGTCATGCCCTACTCACTAGGCAACTGGCTGCCTCGACTCGCTGGTGGTCATGCCCGACTCACTGGGCTACTGGCGCAGCCGCCACCACTCCAGTGACCGTGCTCCGCAACCAGGCTTCATCCAGCAATCATGCTCGGCGGCCAGACTACTAACTTAGCTGCTGCAACGTTAGTCAACACACAGTACACAACATCTCATTTCTACCGGTGTGCGCCGCACTACTTCACCGGCCAAACATCCCAGCAGCCAATGGTCCTTTTCAGGACCTACAAACTTTTCGAAGAAGTGGGTTGTCACTGGAGTAACGACAAAATCCCCACATTGGTGACCCCGACGTGATGGACGCCGCAGACTGCTTGGAAGCAGCTGTATCCAGAGGCTTTGCGGCATCCAGCTCGCACATACAACTGCCCACCACCCAGCAGCTAACGGATACTGGAGGCAGCCATCATGTGCTACCGACCCAGCAAATCCAGCGCACCTCACTACAGTTCATGAGCATCAATTCTCGCGAGGGGGGGAGTGATGTTGGAACATCCCACATAGCATATTTATACAAGCACGCACTGCAAATTTCTGCTCCTCATTTTTGCTGACCAATCAGCACTCTGCAAATTTCGCTCCTCCGCCAAGCATTGTATAAAAGGCGGAGCACAACGCTCACAAGTCAGTCAGGATCAGCCAGTCAGCTATCACACTTCATCCAGAGCGATCGGTCTTTGGAGGCATCGGCACTTCACTGTGCCAGGTACGGCTGCCTCAGCTCTCTGGCGGTCATGCCCTACTCACTAGGCAACTGGCTGCCTCGACTCGCTGGTGGTCATGCCCGACTCACTGGGCAACTGGCGCAGCTGCCGCCACTCCAGTGACCGCGCTCCGCAACCAGGCTTCATCCATCAATCATGCTCAGCGGCCAGACTACTAACTTAGCTGCTGCAACGTTAGTCAACACACAGTACACAACATCTCATTTCTACCGGTGTGCGCCGCACTACTTCACCGGCCAAACATCCCAGCAGCCAACGGTCCTTTTCAGGACCTAAAAACTTTTCGAAGAAGTGGGTTGTCATTGGAGTAACGACAAAATCCCCACAAACCAATATGTTAAAATTTCAACAAATACTAATGGTGACAAGTTGTCCATTTTGTAACTTTTAATGCTGAATATCTGGTCATTTATTGGGCATGTGCCTGATCTGAATCAAGATATGACTAGCTCTATCAACTGGTCCTGACTGAACAGGCATTTACCTGAGAGTGGAGATAGAATCCAGTCTCTGAAACATTGTTAAAAAAAACACACACACAGGATGATGTCCAAGAAGTGAATAATAGTAAGAGAAATTTTGAACTACATTCAAATAATTGTTCTTCAGTCCCCAGTCTTCAAAATCTTCCAGATAACAGCTTTTGCTTTGTGCATTAGCATGCAAGCACCCTGATCCATCAGAATCATAATGGTTGAAAATGCTAGAACAAAACAACTTGTCAACAAAATCTGTCTCTCTTGCTCTTTCTGTCCATAGTCAAGAAGGACATGACCCTGGAAATTTCTTTTTCTTTTTAATGCTATGATTTATGAAAATTGTCATTGAAAATGGATCTGATATTGAAAGTGACACTTCAATGCACTGTGAAAGAATGGCCAGTGTTATAAATTGTGATTGCAACAGTGAAGAAACTGGTCTAGAAAAGAAATTCTCGTTCTTTTCTACCTTTCTTGAAGTCTTTCCAAGTTCTTCTTCCAAGAGGCCATTCTTGCACATGCCTAGTATCTGTCACTTTAGAGGTTTAATTAAAAAAATTTCAAACAAATAAATACATACTGTTAAGTAAACAATAGTCCAAATGACCTTGCTGAAAACATATCAGCACCCAACCCTGCCACTATTTCAAAGCATAAATGTTACAAGTCCACAGCAAGCTATAATATTTCATGCATGCATGACTGTTAATATGTGAAAGATAAAGGTATCCCTATAACAGGCCATGGAGGCCCATAGGGCTGTGAGATGTTGAGGGTCCCACATAAAATCAACAGTTTGCTCACAGATGGCAGTGAGGCTGTCAGCCCTATATGCTGGCCGCCATTTACCCCCCAGGAAGATTCCTCGTACTCATTTCTGTTAGAAGTTAAGTCGACCCCAGGGCCATAGTGCGGCTGGAAGGATTAGGTCAACTGAAAAAATCCACCTCATCGGGACTCAATTCCATGACCTTCCGGCTTGTAGCACAGTGCCTCAACTGACGATGCATCAGCATGCCCCAACTGTTAATATGTATGAATGATTATTCTTAAGCAGCTATGGACAAAATTTGGTTGCTTAAAGAAAACAACTAATAAAGCATGTGAAAGAAAGTAGAGTATTATAAGAAAAAGCACAATGAAGCAAAGTAGAGTTTGATACTTCTTGTGCCTACCAAAATTTACATTTCGTGTAATTCCACAATACAGTAGACTCCCAATTATCTGAGTTGGATGAGAAACAAATTTCTTGAACAAACACAAAACCTAGATAATCAGTAAAAGGAATAGGTGAATAACCTGTGAATTTGGATTTATAAAATGACACGTGTATAAGTATCTTTTACTCAGATGCTACTGGTAGAAACGTGTGGTTTCTGAGAAATGTGTCACTTTGAAAGACTAAAAAGGAAAACCCAACAACGAAAGCCTTCTCGAGTCCATGTACATATATAAATGTGAAATAAAACTCCTTCAATGTGCATCTGGTTGCTTTCTAAAAAGCAATTTCAAATGAAGTTTATCTTTTTACATTGGACACACCAGTCAATTTTCTAAGCAAAGCCCCTTGATAATGCACAATCCACATAAGGTACCAGAAGTATACTGTAGTTTTAAGTGAAAGCTTTAAATTTGGGAAGTTACGACTTGCTACTGAAATAATCTGATATACAACACCCAGTACACAATTTGAATAATACAACTGTGGAATTTTCCAAGGAGATAAACACTTAAAAAAAAAAGAATCAGCATTATAGCTTTTACAGGAATAGAATCAATTAGAAGCAGTATGTTCATTAATGGCAGAATACTGAAAGAAATTATTACTGTGGCATACAGACTTGTTGCTAAGCAGTGACTCTGTAAACATCAGCTGTTGCTCTGCAATAGGCGAATAAACAAACACCCGTTTCTATGCAATGGTCGAGGTATTGCTGGACTATAACAACGGAAAAAGTGTTTTTTATGTGGTCAGTGCCGAGGACAGTTTGAAGAAGCAAGTCGGCTGATGGAGAGACTTGTTAGCAGTTCAGTTGAGTGAAATGAAGTGAAGTAGCTGGTTAGTGAGAGAGAGTTCAGTTGAATGTCAGCATGTGAAGAGAAGAGTAGAGGTTGGTGTGAAATGGTCACCAGCCTGGGACCCAGTTATCAGTTGACAAGAGTTCTGCATGGGTGGCTGTGACAAGAGGATCTGAGTGTGAGAAACTGAAGAATCTCCATTGTTAGAGGCCACTGTCAGGAAACAGATAGTGGAGACTGTAACAGAATGAATCAGCTCCAACTACTTTACTTAATTGTATTTAACAACACTGAAATATTTACTCTGCTGTGAGTCTCCTGTGCCCTAAAACTGCAAGTTCTCTCCAGAAGAATCTTTCTTACACATTGACATGGGTTTAAATTTCATGCAGATTGGATAAGAAGATCCCAAGTTATACTAATATTAATGAAAGCATATGAAAAAAATGTAGTGTGAGAAACAGTCTCCTGAAGTTTGAGAACCAGCATGGTATTGTATATCTCACCACTAGCTGCCTAAAATACTGTCACATAGAATGTGTGTGACTATAGAGGTGGTTTGGATTGGTGAACAGATTCACTGACCACTTGTACACATGACTTGGAACTACGAAGCAATTACAGGGCCACAAAATCTCTCCACTTTAAAAATCATTACAGCACTCGCCAAGCCATTTTCCAGCCTTCTGTGTCTTCAACAGCCATTCCCTGGCAATGGCTTCTAACAGTGGACATTCTTTGCCTTCATGAGCACAGGTTCCATCTACACAGCCTCCCGTACATAACTACCTAACAACTGACTCTGTCCCTTGCTTATAACTGGGGACCGGATTTTTATGCCCTAATAATCCCTTAAATATGTATGCATTTATGCACGAAAAACTTCCGAAATATGCACTAAAATATGCCCATAAAAATTTATACCAAATATTAAAATTGATTTTACATTATTTTAAGACCAACAAATCAATATTTAAGTTCATTTTATCTAATCACTGAATGATTCACTTGCAATAAAAAGCTATACTTAAATATAAATCACGCAACAAAGCCAACATATTTCAACACAAATTTAAAAAACCAATGGTGCTCACATTTAGCTCTCCGAACTTTCAACTTCTCTTCTGTTGCAGTTCAGAATTACTAAATGTTTTAGGTTTTCCATAGTTAGTCACCTCCTATTGTCTTGTAAGATGTCCTTATAGCGAGAAAAACTTCTTTCCACCTCACAGGAACTTAGGGGCGCATATACAAAAGCCGCTATTTGCTCCACTGTTAGGGATTTTTTACCTGGCAGTTCAGTACGTTTACTGGCTAAAATTTCTTCAATTTCACAAATTTCTTCATATCCTGGATTTTTTTAAAGAATGCTGTGTACTTTTTCCTTTACTACTTCACCAACTCTTCCAGGAACCAAATTCAATTTGGAAACAGTGGTTTTGAACACACTTAACGACTGACACAAAGTAGTATTGCTATTGCTTGCCTCCAGTGAGGAAATGGCGGATGGAAGATGAGAGAAATGAGCAGATATATACGAGAGATTAGTTTCTAGTTCTGCATTTTTAGTACATCTTGGGCAATCTGAATTGATGCTGCACATTTGGGATCAAATGTATTCACGACATTTCTTTTCTGTATGGCGCTTTAACAAATACCTTATTCACAGAAGACACCAACTTGTCAACAAGTGGAAAATTTGCACGAATTGTTTCTGCAACATGGTGCAACCCATGGGCAAGGCAAGGCAAATCTGCCATATTTGGAAATATAACTTCAAGAGCAGTACCGGCTTTCATCATATAACTTACGGCATCAGTCACACAGAGCAATACGCGCTCATACTGAATGCCATTCGGCCATAGCAAATTCATGGAATTGATAAAAAATTCGGAAACTGCGGAGCTATTTATGGTTTCAAATTGCTCTACCGCAAGACAATATGGGGTAGATTGTTCATTCTCATTAAGGGATCCAACTATACAATTTGCAATAAACCATCCCTCACAATCTTGTGTTTCGTCAATTGACACCCTCACAAAATTATCTTGAATCTTATCTCTAATGCTTTCAATTGTAAGATCATAACACTGCTTCACGTAATTTTTGTGCACACCAGATTTATCCGGCACTTTGCACTGTGTATACTTCTCTGTGAAGTTTCTCAGAGTAGGAGTGGTTAGTTTACACAGTGGAATATCTGCCACTACAAAGGCTTCGCATAAATCAAAGGAAAACTGTGAAAAACTATTATTAGAAAATTCACTAAGCAATTTTTGAACAGGAGCACTTTTGTGGATTTTATTTTAATATTCTCTTTGTGTATATAAGTGTTCAAATGCTGAAGCACTTGAAAGCGTTTTTCACAACCAACTGTTATCTCACACGCTCGGAATTAATTTTGTTATCCATACTTATCATCTCCCCTTCGAACTCCCGCTGATACATCTGTAATTTAGTTTTCTGACTTACTTTCACTTTCGGCATGAGTACAGAAAGCTAAACAAACTTAACTACAGACTAGTCACCACTAATATGAATGGCCCCCAGCTTCAAATGAAGAAGCGTAACGAACCTCATGGAGACTTCGGGAATAAATAAGTGAAATCCCTTATCGGTTGAATAGTATTATGTTGATAGCGGCTACATGTGAACGCTTCCGACTAATCTCTTCGCGGCCACTTTGATGGTACGTGGATGAGGCAAGTTACGAGTACAGGGATCGGGGAAGTCCCGTCCTGGGTATTGCATCAGAAACACGAATCATGATGAAATGTTGAGTCAAATATGCAACATATTCTAATACGGAAAAGAAAAATTGTATGCACACAACCATGATTGAAAATTTGAACCTAAAATTAAAAAATATATATGATAAACGTTTTAAAAAGGAAATCATCATCATCATCATCAGTAATCTGTCTGACGACAGGTCCACAGTCTCTTCCAAAACAATTCCTCCAGTTGATGCGATCTAGAGCTTTCTCCTTCAAATGAAAATATCCTCTTCTGTCCCCAAGGACATCCAGCATCTTCTTACGTCTTCTTCCTCGTCTTCTGGTCACTTCTATCCACCCCTCTATCTTTCCTTCAATAACTTCTTTTAGAAGGCAGTTACCGCGTAAGATATGACCAATTCAATCAGCCTTCCGTTTTCTTATTTCGTGTAGGATATTCCTCTGCTCACTGACTCTAAATAACACTTCTTCATTTCTCACATAATCGGTCCAACTGATCTTCTCCATCCTTCTCCAACACCACATTTCGAAGCTTTCCAGGTGTTTTTGATCTACTGCCCTAAGTGTCCAAGTTTCAGCCCCATACAAAGCGATGCTCCAAATGTAGCATTTCACTAGTTTCTTTCTCAAATTTGAGTCAAATTTGCTGGTAAAAAGATTCTTCTTCTTGCTAAATGCAGCTTCTGCCATGGCAATCCTAGATTTAATTTCACACGTACACCTTCCATCATCTGTTAACAAGCTACCCAAATATTTAAAACATTTCACATTCTCCAGTTGTTTTTGGTCTATATTTATAGTGACTGGGGTTGGTTGTCTCGAAATTTTCATTACTTTTGTTTTTTCCACATTCATTTCCATGCCATAGCACCTTCCAATTTTGATTAGTCTATCAATCATACCCTGCAGCACAGTTTCTTCCTTAGCCATTAACACAAGGTCATCTGCATATTTCACAGTTTGAAAATTTGCCCTCCTAATTTGAAGTCTCCAAGCCCAGCCAGAGCTTCCTTGGTAAGGCATTCACTGTACAAGTTGAATAGAATTGGTGATAAACAGCATCCTTGTTGAACTCCTCTTCCAATCTGCACACTTCTTGTCTCCCCTCTGTCCAGTCGTACTCTAACTTTCTGATCCATGTACAATTTGCTGATCAATCTTCTTTCACACCAATCGATACCTGTTTCCTTTAGGATCTGCATTAATTTGGTCCAGTTTACACGGTCAAATGCCTTCTGCCAGTCTATGAAGCAAACACACAGTTCTTCATCTATCTCCAAAGTTTGTTCTGCTATAATTCTCATCATCCCAATTGCATCCCTGGTTCCTTTTCCTCTTCTAAATCCAAACTGATCTTCTCCAAGTATATCCTCTATTTTCCTTTCAATTCTTCTTTTAATTATCTTTGCTATTATTTTTGCTGTATGTGCAATAAGGCTTACTGTGCGATGGTTGCTGCATTTTGTAGCTTTTGTCTTTTTCTTTAAGGCTGTCTTTAAGAACATATCTTTCTTGATATTGAGGAAATATGCAGTAAAAATAGAGATCTTCGAAAATATGATGCTTATTCATAAAAGAGGAAAAATATGCATTTATATGCACCATCAAACCATGTCCAAAATATAAGAAATGACGTAATTCATGCATATATCCAAGCGAGCATACTTTCTGGTTGCAAGAAAGAAATATGCATTTGCATTAAAATCCGGTCCCTACTTATAACATAATGACGACACAGACCACGCAGAAACACCGTTTCCGAAAGTAACTCTACTTGCTGCGGGAACATGTTTACCGAGCTGTTGCCCAGAAATGATCATTGTTTACAGTCACCGCTTAGTAATGGGTCTATATGCCACAATATTCTAGGTGCATATCTGTGACAGTCTTTTACAAAAGCACTCCTAAATTACCAAACTTTGCACTCCAAAAACAAATTTTTTCTACATAACTTTACATGGGTAAAAAATTAACTCCTATTAATTTATTTAAATTTCTTTAACATTCAAATCAAGTTCTACAACATTTAGAGATCATTCATGGGCATAAAGTGGTACTATTTACTGTCCTTAACTATCAGAGAATCACTTAAAAGAACAAAATGGAACTGCGAAAACTGTCCATTTTTTACTCAAATTTCAATATCATCCTTCCTTATGAACAGTACCAGAAGATGGCAACAATAAATGACAGCGGCAGGTACTTCTGCCTCAGTCAGTAATAGCAATCTTGACCTCCACAAAAGACAGTTATATCATGTGCATATTCACTGAGACCATTACTTCACAGTGTCTCCAATGGCTACAGTGTATGATAGTATTTCAATGGAGGAAATAACTGTTGAAAACCATAACTAAAGATGGGAAATGTCAACTTTTTCTTTTGAAATTTCAATGGACACCTTACAAGTGAAATGGTAAAGTTGTCCCTGTGCTTAATTAAGCAAGCACTATGCCATGAAGGCATATGGGAGAGTGGACATACAGATCTACATTTTCTTAACCTTGGCACTAGCTGGAGGTGAGTGGTCAGCTTCACGCCCAGGCTGCTTTAACCCCAGGGAAACAGTCCCCCGTCCCTATTGGATAGGAGGTTGGGTGGACCCCAGAGCTGGTCTGGATGACGTGGAGTACAGAGAATTCTTGACCCTACTGGGACTTGAACTCTGACCCCTTGGTCGTCCAGCCCGTAGCCAGTCGCTATACCAACTAACCTCTGAATTGAGTCTCTGCGTCTCTTGATTTCTTGCACTGGCAAACACAGACAAGTGGCTAGCATCAGGTCTGTTCTGGGACCCTTGAAACCTTCCGCTGTTTCGTGCAAGTGACCTTGACACAGTCGATTGTGTGGAAGTTGGTGGTGTAAAATTGCCAGGAAGTTGGGGTGTTGCTCCGCTCATTAACTGATGCTGAAGATTCAAGTTAAGATTTAGAGGCGGTGGTGGGGCTGACATCTGGTGTCTTGAACGCCAATTTGCATTACTGTACAAATCATCCGGAACCAGATCCGTTGGCGAGTTCACAGAAACACGTTGAACAGGCTGCTGAAGAATATTGCCTTGCAGATAATTCAAGGCTGGAAATGGTAGGTTTACTGGAGTTCCAGAGGTCTGTGATGTAACTGTTTCATCTTGCTGATTGCCACCTGCAGAATTCTGTCTGTCCCCATACCACCAGGATGGAGGAAGAGGTGGACCTTCTTCCTGCCATGGTGTGAAAGGTGGCTGACGTAACTTCATTCCATATGACTGATGAGAAGATGGGTACCCACCTCCAATGTTATCATTGACTGGCAGACTGGCTCTTGTTGAAGACTGGTGAAAACGTATTTGAGCAGGATGAGTGGGGAAGGATGGAATTTGTGGACCATATGAGGAAGCTATGTTGCTGGAATTCGATGGAACAGGTTGGCTGTGGGGCTGCAGACTGTTCTGGCAAGTAAGTTCGCTGTTACCAAATATAGACTGTGTTTGAGACACCTGGTTTCTTGGGACTTGGTTATGTTGTTGTATCATGTTATGCTGTGAGGTTTGCTGAGTCTGGTATGGAAAGGACACAGTTAAGGCTTGAGAGGGTGGTTGGGGAACCTGTTTTGGTTGCTGCCACGCCAATGTTTTGTTTGACTTGACAACTTGCCCATCTTCAGCACCCTGGGAACTTCCAGGGGATACACTTGGTGATGGAGTTTTAAATGTTACCTGCAATGTAAAACAAAGCATATTAAAAAAACAGCAGTTATTAAAAACTGAACACAGAGGTTTACTTCCACCCATAGACTAGAAATGTCTCAGACTCTTAACAGTGTGCTTACAGTATCCCCTGTGAGTGTGGAAGAAGCTATATTGGGGGAAGCAGGGAGACCCCTAGCTGTGTAGTTTGGTGAACCTAGGTACCATCTCCAAAAGGGTCTTCTAGAAAAATCAAAATTAGACCAACATTCCTATGAAGAGGGTCAAAGAGTACGCTGAAATGATGCCAGGATTTTGGAAATTGAAACTAACAGTAGGTATAGGAAACATAAGGAATAGGCCCATATGGCATGCTTAACCAATCCAATACGCCAACCCAGTTTGGTCATTTCTCCTATCTGGATACCCCTCATCAGCAGTAAGGTTTCTAACTCACAGAGAAGATCTGTATGATGTAACAGACTCTTCATGTGTTTCCAAAAGGTTCCAGTCTCAAGTGTTCAGGTTACTCCACAGATGGCACTAGTGGTAGATATTACATGTCTTCACATTTCTTTTTTCCCATTTCTTTATATTGGTGCTTGTGCACTTGGCTTTTTGTCAGCTAGGTTTCTATCACAAATTTCTACCTCTTTTTCTATCCTAGTTCCACGCATGTGCGTGAGCTAAATGCAATATCCAGAGCAGATATTAGCTTGCACAGTTCCTCTAACAAAGTGGTACTGCACAACCCTGTTTCCAGCCCATGATGTGTCCTAGAGAATGAAATACAACACTTACCTGCTTTGCTTCCAAGTTTCTGGATGTCTCCTGTTCTCCAAGCAACACCGATTTCCTCATGATAGCTTGCATTGCGACATTCTGCCGACCTCGCTTAGCTATTACGGGGCCTCCATGATTCTGGTTCTGGGACCACATCATTTCGGTGGCCTCTTTTTCTCGAGCCTTCTCCAAAGAACCTTGTGGCTTCAGAATACCAGCACGTCTCTCTGCAATTAAAAAAGCACCTACTTGAAATAAATGTGGCTAAGGTAAGAAAACGCAATGTTGGTGTGTCAGATTAACACAGGTCACTGTTTGGAATAGGACACATGCACATATACATTTTTCTGCTTGGAATGACTGATACTGTGACCTCCTAGAAAACTGACCTTTCCTCCTGGGCCACTCTGCATATTGACTCTAAGCATGCAGAGCTGAAGATTTTTACTATATGCCTTGCCAAAGCTGGGAAGTGATAAAATAAATGATAGACAGACTCCTCATCCTGTACGTAGCACTTTCCAAGAGGCCCATAATATGCAAATGTCACCTCAATGTATAGTGGCCAGTCAAAATTCGAGTCACCACCATCAATGTTTCCTGCCCAAGGCCAACATGTCCCTGAGGACACTTCAATGAACAGCTTCAACTGATTCAAAACCATGTGATTCACCAATAAAAGGATGCTTTCATGTTGGTGGATCAAAGGACAATGAAGATTTCATATTGCAAGCATGACAATGCTGAAGGGCATAAAGCTGCTGTCAGTATCTTCACCTGCTAAGAGACAAGTTAAAGGCAACAATTATCCATGGGCTTAATTAAGCACCACACTGAGCCGTGCTCGCTTTAGTGCGTGATGTCATGGCGTCTGCCATTCCCAGATTCCATCTTCACCCCCATATGTTGACGTATTATCCTCATGATGTCCATGTATCATGTCACCTTCTATCCCTCATCTGATGTCTTGGAAGGAGACTAGACCTGCTTCGCAGTCTGTCAGACTACAGGGTCCTGAGTGGATGCTTACCAGCTAGCGGGGATTGCTACTAGAAATTCTGTTTCAGATTGGGTACCTTAAAATTGTGTTCGGTATATCTTCCATAAGGCTGGTAAGGTAAAGGCTGCCCGCGATCGCAAGATGTGGCTTAGAACAGTTGCGATGCGCGTATTTATATGCTTATTTATTTTTATTATTATTATTTGTGTTTGTCTGGGGTAACCTGTTTAATGCCTAGAGGAAGTTAGTTAAACTGGGGTGAGTTAATTTGTTCTTTGTTGCGACTGTTGGCGATGAGTGATTGCTCCGCAATCATGGATTTGGGTTCTTGTATCCCTGTTCTGCCATGATTATGTATGTTTTGCATATTTTCTGTAATTCTGTTATTTTGTTATTAAACTTTGTTATTGTCATCTGAAAGGCCAATGTATTACTGTAGCTTCTCCATATAGCTTTGATACCCCATGAATATCTTGGGAAGCTTGCGAACACAGCAACAGAGCCAGCGACGATGGGCTGCTTCTCCCTACTTCACGGCTCTGATAATAAATAATTTGAGAGAAGGGGAAGGGGCGGTTCAACACCATGCAGACATATAAGGGTGTGGAGGTTAGCGGTCAAGTTCATGCCCTTGCTGCACTTGTCCCTTGAGAAGAAGCCCCCAGCACCATTTCGTAGGAGGCTGGGTGAGCTTCAGAGCAGGTCTGAATATTATGGAGAAGAGACAAATTTCTTGCCTCTACTGTGAATCCAACTCTAAATCCAGCCTGTAGCCTAGTTGCTATAGCAACTGAGCTATGTGGCTTGTACCATGACACATGTATGAATATTTCGGGCCTAAGTTCTCAGTAGTACTATTGGCAGAGAATATCAACTAAACTAAACATAAATGGTTCATCTTATTCAAAACTTGGAAGTTTTCAGCTGAGCTTCTGTCTCTTTACTGTTTCATTACTGTGCAAAGTAACTGGGAATCCAATGCAGAAAACTGAGAGGGGTATATTAAGTTACAGTACCAGTAATTGTGACACCTTTACTTTCTTTCACGGCTGATGCAATAATGTCACACCAAATAAACCCCTGAGTTCTTATAAGTTCTTTACTAACTATATATGACTATTCATTACCTCCAACCACTATGCCTAAACCCCAAATTCTGAGAGAAAGGAGAAATTACATGATTATAGCCAAAGTTTGTGTCCAACATGAAGACATGGTAAGGCTGTGCCATAGATCAGACAGTTAGTTGTTGACTTCCCAATACGGGGGCCCAGGTTCAATCCCAGGTCAGGTCATGTGGCATCTGTGGTTGACAAAATGGTATTGGGGCAGGTTTCTTTGAGTACTTTGGTTTCCCCTGTCAATTCTCATTCCACCAACTGCTCCACATTCATTATCATCTATCATCTGGAGTTGGTACAACAGCTGGTAAAACAGTGGCCGATGTACCAAGCGGACCCAGTCTCACCCCACCCAACGAAATCAAGACATGATAACTGTATGCTAGGCCAGTTGCATTTTAAAAGATTAAAGAAGTTTCCAGTATGAAAGTAATTAACCGTAATGACAAACAGTGATGAAGACATCTTGACACTTACCATGAACTGCATCACTGTGGATGTGCTCTGCAGGTGGTGGACTCTGAGGACCGGCAATGATTGATGAATCATCAGGTGTGGAAGTGCCAGTAGCTGTGCTTCCCCAGCTGTTGGTGTCCGAAGGAGCTGGTGATGGAAGCTTGGTGAGACTCAGCTCCTCCAGTTCTCTGATCAGGTCGCACGGAGGCACCTGCTGACCTCCAACTGCTTCAAATACCACTGAAGATTCTTCTGAGCCTGGAGATGATCTGTAGAATTGTCACAGATGACATATCAATGCAGAGCAAATTATGTCCTCTTTCTGACATGATATTAACACTACACTTTCAGTAAAGTCAATAATTTCCTCACTCTGTAAATAATCAAGTGCCAGGTCAGAGATGAAGCCCTAACTTAAATACCAACAATGTGACAATGTGCTGCCTGGTCATGAATATTGCACACCTCAGGCAGCAGTAACAGATGAGTATGGAGCAATGGTGGAATGATCATTAGGAGAGAAAAAACGAAGAAACTGGGAGAAGAACATGTTCCCAAAAGTTCACTAGAAATCTTAAGTTAAATCGGTGTCTTACCACCTGTAACATGTGACCTAAAGGAAAACGCTGATGTTCTTCATTTGTCTTGCTGAAAAGGTAATTTGTCTTTAAATTAAATACATGATTAGATTATATCTTCAAGGTTAAATCGATCTATTTTTTTTAATATGAAAACTGGAAACACAAACAATTTGCAAACACCTTAACCATTAACCAAGTTCAGAGACAAAACATGTTCTTGCACATTACATTTACATATACGAAACTAATGTGACCAGCCAAGCTCACAATTTTGGAAGGATGAAAAAATTCAAACATAATTTGTCATTTTTTGGAGCTCGGATAGTCCTGACAGCATGGTGACTAGCCCATGGGCAGGACTTGTGGAATCACGGTTCGATTTCTACCTACAATAGAAAATTTTTCTCTTCTTCAGTGTCCAGACTGGCTCTGGGACTCACCCAGATTCTTATTCAATGTATACATGGGGCCTTTCCCTACAGATAAAGCAGCTGGGACAGAAAGCTGACCATTCAACTTAATAATATGCCAAGGTTAGAAGGCATGGAGCAGCACCTCCATTCATCCATATGTAATTAACGGTGTGGTACTTAATTAAGCACAGGGACAATTTTCTCTTGTTTAGTTACCATTTTCAGAAAGAAAAAAGAAACAAATTTCAGAATATTGCAAACTAAATATTACATTTCCTTATCTTAAAACCGATAAAATTGAGGAGAGCTCATATAATACCTCCTGGTTACAAGGCGATGGCCATCCTGTTTCAGGAGCCACATCCCAAACTCAAGAACACGAGCTGCTCGAAGTTTATTGAGGGATACTGGGTCCAACTTCCAGTCGTGGCAACTGAACCTGCAAATAATAATTCAATTCAATTCAATTCATTCAATTCATGTTTATTTACGTGCCACAACTTAACAGCACAGTGGCCAATTACAAAGTTAGCATGAGTATATAAGGTACAGAAAATAATTAAAACAAAATACAAATATGACAAATAAATCTGTGAACATAAATCTAAAGAAGAGTGAAATACATACATATATTTATGAAATATTACGAATGTTGCTAATACTGTTAGTAACTAAATACTAAGATAAGACACCTGTGAGTGATAGCATAAAATTAATAACAAGTCAACAAGTTAGCCGAGGTATACACATTTGTAGTGAATGAAAACACTAATCAAGTAACACTGTAAAAGGTTTGGTACATGCTTGTAAAATACGATTCAGAGAAACCGCTCTGTCTGCATATATGTCGAGATCTTTACCCACCACGTTGGTAGCAAGGG